CCCCCCTCCTCCTCACATCCTATATTACATATATTCTAAGCTTAAATATCAATTACCTTATAAACCAAATTAACAATTAAAGAGGACTGTTTTCATTCTTCTATCAAATTTTAATTAATATACACATCAGAACGGATTGAATTACATTACGGAGGAGAGATATCTATATGCTGGGGGGGAAGTGGAGTTAATCGATAGATCAATTCAGATAACAGCTAAAACAAGGTAGGTGTATTTAACATGTTTTTGGCCTTTTCCAAGTTGTCAGTATCTCCAGTTCCCTAGCACTCTTGATATAAAAACTTCCTTATCTAGGTCTGGAGCAAAACAGAATTTTCATCTTAAGGATTATTAATCAATTTACAGGCCCAATAAAAAGAATAGTGACAGTGCAGACAGCCATCAAGTCAAGCAAAAAAATGTAATCAATTCAAATCACCACCCAAATATGGTTGAAAATGAGCTCAAACATGAAGAAAAAATAATAAGAATATTGAATTCCCATTAGATGGCCCACAAGGTCGAATTTTTATTATGAAACCAAACAAGGAACAAGTTGAGCTGCCTGTGGGGATTGAGAAGACAAAAGATTACTAGGAAGAACACAAACAACACTCAATCACCCATGATAGGTGGCGAGATGATGGTGGATTAGAGCCACAGTATATATACACATTGTTAATTGAATACCTTCCTACGGAGAGGAAATAGGAAGGCTTTAAACCAATCACTTTTGCTTGGTGGAAAACTCAAGTAGCCATAACTTGGGACATCGAAAAAAGCGCATTTAAATTACCGACTGCAACTCAGTGTCCATCAGCCATTTACCTCATGGTTGGCGCAATTATGAGCCATTCCATAAATTCCAATATTTATAGCCAAAGTTTAGCCATTTAGGGAGTAGAGTAAATGGCCATTCATTAGACACCATAATCAATTGAGCATTTCTTGCATGCAACAAAAAAATGTGCCACAATTTGAGATGCCTAAGTGTAACAGACTTGGAAAATAAAGTGCAATTACGCTAACCACTATCAAAGACAATGTAGTAAAAAATTCAAAACTAAGGCATTATGTTTTTAGGAGTAGGCACCGTCCTATAATCATCCCTTAATCTTATCCCTCATGATGAAGGAGAAACAAGATATATATATATATATATAAATATGCGTGGCATGAAACAGAACCAAAACACAGTAGGATAGATGAACAAGCACCAATGAGGGAATTTTAAAGCATTATAGGAAGGGGGGTTCCTGGATAATGAATCCTGAAGTCGTGTTACCCGGTGAAGCTGCATCGCCTGCCGATGATAAATGATATATTGCACAAAAGATATGGCTTCCTGATTTATTAATTGGACAGGTGTATGTTATTAAGGAAGCTCTGATTAAAAAAAACATATTTGAACTTGTAAAAAATTGTAAATCTTTGCTCTATTTAAAGTCATGGCATTTGTTTGAGAACCTTTTGACTCACCCACATATGAGGAGAAATAATATCTAGCTAATGAGTAAATGAAAAGACCATGTGAGTTAATACATGAGAGTCCAAGCAAGAGAAAAACAAGCGAGAAGTGAACACGACTGATTGATTTCAATGCATCGGTGGAAACTCTAAATAACGTGATTGGAATGGGGAGTAATTAGTCGGAGAAATTTCGGAGAAATTAATGATGATGAACAATTTTCACTTAATTGATAATCCAGGCAATTTGAAGAGTTGAAATAATCGTTGATTTTGATCAAGGGAGGGACATAAAATAGCGAGTTTGCAATTAGGAATTTCCGTGTCCCATTTCTCAACCCACGCTCAAGGCTTGAAAAAAACACACCTCTATAATCAAGTTGGGAAATAATTTAACAAGCTAGCTGCAGATTCAGCGACGTGGCCTATTTTCAGTGGAGCTTTGGTAATGACACGACATGTTATTCGGAGCAAAAAAAAAGTTAGTTTGATCAGCCGCGGAATAAAAAAAAACACTTTTTAAATTAATTTCTCCCGATAGTTGAATAAATGTCAGGAGGGAAAACTTTTCCCGAAATTGAGGGTGAAATTAAGAGTTGGCACCAAAAGAGATCGCGCTATTGAATTATCCAAACTACTACTCCGATCTGTATTAAAAAAATGGGACTTAAAGTAGACTTAAGCCATGAAATAAAATGAAAATAAATTTAATCCAATTTCCCACTAAACTCAATAAAGAAGTGGAAATAAGTCAATTAACTACTGTTAATCCGAATGGCAGAGAGCATTGACAACATTGCAAACTAACCGCAATGGAATTAGCTATATATATAATGGAAATTCGCCATTCGCCGAAGCAACAGCAGCAGTTAATTTTCTTTCGAAGCCGCCAAAAAACAACGCTCTTTAAATACCAACGTATGTAAATCTTTAAGCTTTTAATGGTTTTCGTGAGTGATTTGGATTATTCTCTAAGCCTCTATGTGCCATATTAGTGCTTGTTTAAATAAACAGCTCGCAGTATTCGGGGCCTTATCGCCTAGCCATAGGATAAACGTCCTTTGTGGCACAACGATTTTGACATAATCGATTTATTTTACTCAACCAATTGTAATTGATACAACTTACTGGCATTTTGTACTCATTTTCCAACTGATGGGGGGAGAAGATTGTCGCACCAAAACTATTGTACGATTATATAGTTCCCCGGAGTCTGATAAAAACGCGAGGCGGGGCGACAGACTTACCCACACGTGATGCACACTAGGCAACGTATACTCATATGACAAAAAAAGTCCATAAACCGGCGGTTGACTTGTGACACCATGACCCCACTATATGTCATATTCGACCATTTCCGCAGTACTCATCTTTCCTTTGTCCTTACCTTTTTGTTCGTCTTTCTCTTCTACAACTGTTCATCGATCTTCCAGTACCCTTTCGACATTTGCGACTTAGGCGTTTCTCCTCTCTATGAAGTTCAAAGTCAACTAAAGGGCTAATGATAACTATCATAAAACCTGCCATTTGATCTAAATAAATATTCAAGACACCAGTTGCCATCACCAATTCAATTGACAGTACGCTCATACTGACTTGGTGGTGTCTTATGTATTCTTCATTACTCCCAAGCATTTATACCCAATTCGCGAGTTTATTACAAATTTCTTATTCGAAAAGTAAACAGTGGAGAGGCCAGATTCCCGTTGCATTCAACATCACTCACCAATTTCGCCTTTCCAAATCACTGCATGTAGCTAGAATGGAATAAATCTCATTACAAAAGTATATGAACTTAAAGCCAATTCGCAAATGAAAAGTTAACACGGCATTTGACATTCTGTTCAGTTGTTAAATAGAATTTTAAAACAAAACACCCTTTTTTCTCCCATCTCCCATGGGAAATGAAGAAACCATGACATCTTAGGCAGCCACTGCCTATATCACACTTGGGGATTAAAGCAAAAGTTTTCAGTAAAACAACATTTTCTAGAACGGCTGATGTTATTAATAGTATAGCCCTTGCAGTAGACGTAAACAAGTTAGTCAGAAATACTACTACTACTTCTCGTAATTGCACACCGAAGGAGAAGCTGAACGATTGAGAGAGATGACTTCGGGTTACAGACTGTCCATCTATTTTGCATTTTAGTTGCAGCGGTAGAAATCATTAAGAAAGTTCAGTGCAGAGATGGTGATTCAATAATCAGCGGCGCACATCAACCGAACGGCATGAACAACTCACAAAAAAAAATGGTGAAAAGAACGGCAAAGAAATGCGCGTTTCCAAGTCACCAACGCTACAACAAGGTGCTAATTCATGGCCTAGAATAAGTGATGAGGAGGAGGAGGAGGGGGAGAAATGATCTTTAGAAACGTCAAAAATAAAACATGATCAAGATTGGGGAATTAAAAATTATAACCTGAAGTAAAGAACAATTTAATTTACGACCCAGTGAAATAGCATGCCATTTTAACGTTACAGGTCTCAATTTACAGATCCCTATTCATTTATCAGAGACAAGGCAACTATTACGAAAGAGCCAAAGGACACTGAACTTCTGAACCGTGACCCAACTTGTCAATTACACATCTCCGTACCAAATGAAAGCAGACCGTTATGAAGGAGCGCAAATGCAGATGAATTCCAATGTGGAAATTTCTAAAAAAGGACGACGCTCAATAAAGGCCTACGTAGGATTAAACGGACAAGAAATTGGTTAAAATGAAACAAATGTTTAAAAGCGAATATGACGAGGGCTGGTCATGACAGATCGACACAGAGACCACCAAGAACTGCTGGGCGAAAGAGTTACTAATATTATTTTGATTTAAATAAAAATTTATTTGAATTGAGTGCACTTCTAGTCCCCTCAATAATTAAAGAAAAGTGGTACTTTATAAATAGGGAGTTACATTCCAATCACTACGATTGGCTAATATTGGCGTAGAACTTCATGCAAGACTGAATCCTGAAACAGTGAATGGGGTGACGCAATCTTTTCCCCCTCCAAACTTTAAGACAATTAGGCAGTAGTCAAATTCACTCTTAAGAATTCCTGCTGAATCAATGCTCAGTCAAGCTTAATTAAAAATCAAAGACAACTTATTTTAAAAAAATCGTGAATATGACAATACCACACACACACACACACACATCTATTTATGTAAATCTACTTTTCACAATTCCTAGCTACCTTCCTCATTTCCCCTCATTCGAAGTTTATTTTTAAAACAAAATTTTGAAAAGATTCATATCAGTAGCCGTGTGCTTGACGTTTTCCTAATTTGGATTTTATTTAAAAAGGATAGAGGTGTCGTATATGGGTCAACAAAGTTTCCAAAAGCTCTTAGATGCAGTGACTAGATGATGATTTTCTCGCATTTTACTCAATATCTCCTGCATAAAATTTTAAATCGAACGATTTTTAAACCATCCATCTGAGATAATGGTGTTTTCTTGATGGTAGTGAGATAATGACAAAATCAATGTTAAGAAAGGGAAAAGTAGCTCACATTATACGTTACACCGTTGAAAAGCTTTTTCCCAATCTCCCGAAGATCCAATCGAACACCTGTGTTGGTTGCTCTAGTCGGTCGAACAGCTCCAGTAGACGCAGTTGGAGCATCGCTTGAAGGCGTTGGTTGAGTTGCTGAAAGGAGAACATTCCAATGAATGAAATGTCAGAGAGAAAACATTGCACTACGAATTATGCGTGGGCATAGAACACTAAATATTAAACACAATTAAAGATGAATTCAACTGGTGGTGATGGTGACAGCGTAGATGTTTAAAAATTCAATACTCAACGGAGCGATCTAGTGGAGAGGAGGGTCAATTAGACTGATTAATCCTAATCGCTTCCCCTTCTTCTCCAACCAAACCGAATACGCTCTGTGCCGATTACAACAACTAGCTCATGATGTTCCAACGGAAATCAATAGCAATTAATAAAAACTCGAAAGCGATGGCCATAAATGACAATGTACAGTGCAACGGTGTTCTGCAAATCATAGCTTATGCCAACTAGCCATCATTAACAATGCCATTCCAAATATGTACACCTTCTTAAGCTACCAGGTAGATAAGAACTTACAGGCAAGACAAGTGATCACTTTGCAATCTTCAACACAACACCCAGAAATCTCGAGCTGAAATCCTAATTAATCACTAATGAAGTTCAGTTTTCATTGAATAAATGCTCCTCTCTTACGAATAAACCCAACTTAGAATGTTAACATCGCACCAATAAACTTCAATCATCAATTCCATCAGTACTATGCTATTTTAATGTCAATCGAATTGACCGAATACAACTAAGCAGTTCTTCATGTTGAAAGCAAAGACTAATTCGATTATCTAGTTCATCTTGCGAAAAAATTGTCCCCATAAGGAGTTTAGGGTTTATTTTCAAATTGAACGAATATTTCTCCCTAAGTGTGTGTCCAAAATCAAGGCGAATGGCTTCGATTAAACCATATAAGGAAAAAAACACGCAATTTGCCTTATTTGGAATTGTACTGAAAATAGGAAAGAAATTTCCAATAAATTGTCATTGTTCCTGCGTCAGATAGAACTGAAATGGAATGCATGAATGCATGGATGAATGGACTAAGTATTCGTACGAACCAATGTTGGAATACGGGGTGTGCGATAGACTTACCTCCACGTCGTGCACCCTGGGCAACGTATTAACCGGCAGTTGACTTCTCACTCCAAACTACCATGGCCCGACTATTTGTCATATTCGACCCCTTCCACAGTACTCATCTTACCTTTTTCCCTACCTTTGTGTCTGTCTGCCTCTTTTACATCTGTGAATCGCTCTTCTGATCCCCACCCCTCGACTTTCTGCTACTTTGATGAACCTTCCTTCTGTGAAGCCCGAAGTCACCTAAATGGCTAATGATAGCTATCATAACGCCTGCCATTTGAAACTAATAAATGTAGGAATACTGCAGAGCATAGTTCTGGCGCCAAAGGTCAATTGAATGAAT